GTCCTTTACCCAATTGTCATCACCAGTCTTGGGGTATTCTACGACGCTAAGGGTGTTGGATTCCAGAGAAACATCACAGTAAAACTATACCAAGCAGAACAAGAGGTAGGCCACGTTTCTGTGTAATTCTCTTCATAGAATAGACTAAATCCATAGTCTCTTTACGTAGCAGAACTAAAAGGGATTATTGGAGAGTTAGTAGATATCCATGAAGCCATGAAGCCATGAAAATGGCTTGTGGTGCTGTTACCCGCAATCAGTTTGCTTATTTTGCTTCCTAATCGTTGTTTTTAATTGGGGCAATTAGCAGTGGCTAGTAATATGTTTAGGGCAAGTGGGAAACAAAGCAGTAGCAGGACAAAAAAGAGGACAAGAAATTAGTTATATGTGTTATGCATTTATTTATTTATTAATTAAATGTATATGCCGCCCATCTCCCCATTTGTGAGCATTTAGAACTCTGAATATGGCAATATGGTAGGGACAATAGTTATATCATGATTTTTTTGAAGTCTTCAATCTATACTGGAGTAAAGAGGCTCATAGCACTAGAAGGGAAGAACACAGGCTTACTAGGCCATAAAACTTGATTTTGTTGAGGTCAAAATTATTAGTGACTTTGGAGCTTGTTGTGGGGTGTGGTTTGGCTTGGCTTAGCTTTCTTGTTGGCTTCAAGAGCCACTATTCTACAGCAAGTGTGTTAACTTTCAATGGCTCAGGGCAATGCTTTGCATTTTTTTTCTAACCAGGAACCATACTGTTCGTGACGCAGGGTGAACAGGGCCAAGAAAAAGATGTGAAAAAATAAACAACATTTAAACTTTAAAGCAAATGCCAAAATTAAGTTTCTAGCTCTTGAGCCACAGTTTGTCACCAATTTCTAATCTAAACAATGGGAAAGGGGAAGTTGGAAACCGCATGGATCTCAGCCACCCTTGTTCTACATCTGCAGTATGTTTAGAAGAGTGTAGTTATTTTCCTAGTGTGCTTTTGAATGGATGGCTTGTGTTTATTGGATTTTTATAAGCTGCGTCTTACAGGTTTGCATGCTGTAAAGTGAAATCTAAATAAATCAGCAATGTAGTCTTATAGCCTCTTCAGAAATAAATCCAATGAAGTTCAGTGGGGCTTACCACTAAGTAGATGTGTAAAGCATGACAGCCATAATATGAATACCAAATAAAGTCCCTTGCTTTGCAACAGTTATTAAAGGCAGAGATTCTTTAACTTTTTCTCAGCTCTGGTTCTCTCAGTGCATTGCAGTACAGATGAATTCTGTTGAGTGGCTTTTCAGAAGCCCATAGTAAGTAAAAGTTTGATCTTGTGGTCAGCATTCTGCTAATAAGTTTTAAAGCAGTTGTTTCAGCAGAGTGGTTGAAACCTTAGGCTTAAGGAAGCTTTGATTGGCCAAGAAGGTGTGACTTTCATGAATGGTTTTCCTGGCTCACAAATGGGTTGCTTATTGTTTCCCTAGGAGGCCCTCTTCAGCGCTCGTTTTAGTCCACCTAGTTGTGGAGTGCAAGTGAGCAGACTTTGGTACAAACCTGTAGAACAGTTCATTCTGCCAGAGGTATGTGCAGTGTATTTATGGGACATACATAAAAGTGATTCTGCTCAATGATCTTTCTTTTTTCATTTATTCATATTTGTTCAGCATTTTGTTGTAATTAATAAATTATTAATGGATTTAGGACTCTGAAATGTCTCACATAGTACCCACTAGTCTCCTTTTCTTTTTAAAGTTCAAAATCTATGATACTAAAGTAACTGAACCCTTTTCATGACCTTAATAACTTAATAACATATGAGAGAAATGAGATTGAAGCTTTCATGAGCATTGTCTCCACACATGGTATAGAAGCAGAGGATTTTAGGTAGGTTTTGTTCATGAGGTGAAAAGAAAAGGTATTACTGTATATTGCATTCTGGAATTATGAAGCTTAAAGCCTTTTTCTTTATTTATACAGTGGATGGTGAATAGATCAGGACAGATAACAACAAGATGGATTTAGATCTAGGTTCAAGATGTAGCTCAGGTGAGGACAACTTGTGAACTATACGGGAAAATTTTCATAGCCTGATTTCTGTAAACTTGGCCAACTCTATTCTGAGTGAATTAATTTTTTTTCCCTACTAAGTAGTATAGAAATTCTCAATCAACAAAAATGTGTGTAGGAAAAGTATATTAATCTGAGATCTTATAAGGTTGACTAGGTACAGGTAGTCCTCACTTAATGACCACAATAGGGACCGGAAAATTAGTAATTAAGCGGGGCAGTTAAGCGAGTTACCACATGGCCAGAGCCAATTTTACGACCATTTTTTACAATGGTCGTTAAGTGAATCACATGGTTGTTAAGTGAATCATGTGGTTGTTAAACAAATCCAGCTTCTCCAATGGACTTTTTTGGTGGAATTCACTTAACGATCATGTGATTCGCTTAACAAACATTGTAAAAAAAGGTTGCAAATCATGATCACATGACCATGGGGGATGGTGCGATGGTTTGCAATGGTCATAAGTATGAGTACAGGTTGTAAGGCACTTTCTCTGAGGCCATCATAACTTCAAACCTGTTAAACAAAAGGTTGTTAAGCAAGGACTACCTGTATTACCACATGCTGAGATCCCCCAGAGATTGATTATATTTATTTTAAAATTGAAATAATAAAAAAGAATCAAAATTATGCTGCTGACAATACTTTTTCCCTCCAAATTTGAGTGGCATGATTCTGGATGGCTCTGAGAGTGACATGTTGACTATCCCTGATTTAAGATATGATTAATGAACAAGACAGAATAATAAATCATTTTATCTAGCTTCAATAAATGATAGTTTCAGCTAAATACAGTATCACTGAGATTAGATATAATGGAAAACTTCTGTTAGTTTAAAAGTGGGACCAACAACCTCTGTTGACCTTGCAGATATGCCAGAGGAGAAAGGTAGGACAAAGGGGCTTGTGCATAATCTTCTACCACAAGAATAAGCAGTCAAGTGTTTTCCATACATTCTGGATTATAACTCCCATAATCCCTGATTATTTGCTACACAGTCTGGAATTTAGTGAGAATTATAGTCCAGAATATTTGAAATACTTACTTTAGCAAAAATGAACTTTAAAAAATTTGTCATGGTTTCAGAGAATGGCGGAATTAATTGCTTTTAGTGAAGTTAGGTTTTCATATGTTGAGAAGATGCTGCCATTTAGAATGAGTGTCATTAACTGTGAACACAAAAGGCTTTGTTCTGAAGAGAGTGCTTCTGTTCAGTTTGAGCAATGGCACTTGCTGCCAGGCAGCTATTCAAATTCTGAGAATAAAGATTAGGAATGGAAGACAGGATTGTGGATTCAGACAACAATGTTGTTGAATTAAGATAGGTTTGAGGTGTTAACACAATGAATACTAATTAAATGCTCCATTAATTAGACATTTTGCCACTTTATATATTTTTTTTTAACAGCAGTAACACCAAAGTTGCAAAACATTCCTGTCAGCCTTTTTTTCCCTAACATTTTCTTCGATTCAGTATTAGAAATCCACCTCAGGCTATCATTTTCAGACATTCAGTAGTTTTGGTAAAAACATTTAAGTGATCATGTTATTTTATTTCATAGGTGCTTCCTATATTCCCCTTCCTTTGAGTGAATGTAAGCAAATAATATTGTTATCCAATAACTGAGAAAAATATAAAAGTATCTGTAAATATCACAACATAAACACAGCTATAGAAAAGAACATAAACCATAATAAGCAGCACTCACACATATCCTGGGCAAGACTGTTGCCTCTGCTATCTCTGCACACCTGCTTAAACATCCAGGTCTTCAGCAGCTTTCCAGAGGTTGATAGGGAGGTTGCTGCTTACAGAGGATAGCTGGTGCCACAGGAAGGAAGTTCTGGCAGAGAATGCTCACCTCCAAGTCCCCTCCCAATACAACCCTGGGGTGGGGGTGGGCGGGCTCTAAACATGCACTACCTACTTGCAGACTTTGGGCAGGCAGATTCTGCTTGGAGCAAGTGGTCTTATAAATACCCAAACCATGCACAATTTTATAGGTTATTACCACACCTGGAAGTGTACCTGGTATCAAACTGGCAGTCAATGTAGCTTTCTCAGTATAGGTGTGGTATGGGAGTATTAAAGCACTCCTGTAAATATGCATTCTGTGCTAACAGTGGGTTCTGGGTTGTCTTTAAGGGCAGACCCATGTAGACTGAGTTACAGTAGTCTGGTTGGGAGGTGGTGAGGAAATGAATGACTATTGCCGGTGCCTCCTGTTTCAGGAACAGACATAACTGGTACACCAGCCAAAGCTGGGCAAAGATTTTCCTGTTCACAACTTCTACCTGCTGATCTAGCAGGAGCTGTGAGTCCAGAAGAATCCTCAGATTATGTACTAGATCCATTTTGGGGAGCATAGCCCCATTAAGAGTTAATGTTGCAACTGCAGCATCTCAGTTGGTTTCTGCATTAATAGCTGCTCTGCCTTATTTGGGTTGGGTCTGAACCTGTTCCTCCCCATCCATACCCTTATAGCTTCCATACACTGGGTCAAGACTTCTACTTTATTCCATTCCAACCAACTTGCCAGGAAGTGGTTTTGCCCAATGAGAAAGGGCCGGGGGTTGGTTGAGGGAGCCACATGTAGGAATAATTCTCTGGAGAAACCGCTTGCAAAGGGGCTTGCTTTTGCCGGCTTTGTGCAAAGGGGTGGTGGTGGCGGCGGCGGCGGCAGCAGCAGCAGCAGCAGCAGCAGCAGCAGCCCCTTTGCATGAAGCCGGCAAAACCAAGTTCCTTTCTGAAGGCTCAGGAAGTCACGTGTAGGAAAAGTTGGCTGGAGAAGCTGGGTCCGAAAAGGAGTCAGCAAAGGCAGAGAGGCGCTTCTGCTTTGGCTGCAGGGGCTGGGCACAAAAGGCAAAAGGACAGTGCAGGGAACTGGGAGAGAAGGCAGCTGGGTGAATGAATGCTTCCTGGGGTGGCTTGGTGTGAAGGGCCAGGCCGGGTACACCTCGTCAGCAGCAGGAGCAAGAAGACAGCATGGTGAGCTGGGGCGGCAGAGCGCAGGGCGGCAGAGGTCTTGGACTGCAGGGTGGTGAGAGTGGCTGGGACTGGACTGGGAGGGCTGTGGCTTTCCAGAGTGTGGCAAGCAGCCCCAGAACTGTGCAGCTCTGGGCCTGCTTGCCCCCCTGCAGGGCAGGGTGCAGGGCAGTCAGAAGGTCAGAGATGGAAGGAGATAGGTGGGTGGGGGGCGGTTGTGGCTTCCCAAGGTGTGTCAAACCCGCCCCAGACCATCTTTGTTTGTGGCGGGTGCCCCCCCTCCCAAGG